TAGGATTTATTCATACTCTATTTCACTGCTTTAATGGATCAGGCCAATAAGCCTGTCACAGAAATATCGATTTCCAGAAATAGCAAATTCTACACTGAAGAGACCTATGATATTCAAAGATGAGTGAGTCTTGACAAAGGAGCCTTAAATTTCATCCATGAATCAAGGAAAATTAAAAAACGAAATCGACTCAGCAATGACCTGCATTTCTTCTACCCATCCTCTGTTACAGCTATATGTTAATAATGCACACAGATTCGCTACCAGAGAGACCAAAAAATTCTTTTCTAATTAGAATGACATCTTTGTTCAGCGAATTTATTAATGAACCTAGTGTAAAAGTTTCTGAAGAAATGAGAAAGTTAAACTGTCGTGACGGCAAACAAAACGTTCTGAGCTCAGTCTAAAAGAACAGAAACTGCAATGAACGTCAGAACATTCAAGACAACATAAACAGTGGTTAGGGCCTCTAGTCTACAAATACAACGGATGATCAAGGCAACGAATCGACATCCATGCAAAACATTATGTTATTATGTTAACTTGCCTTTATTATGTTTATTGCCATATAATAAACAAAATACGCACCTTGCTGAGCTTTTCGGCGTTCAACGGCTCAAGTAATGGCAAGGTGAGTACCGTCTCCACAAGACAAATGTCATCCAGCATCGAAGAATGACTAAATACGACGAGATACAAAAGAAAACAAACAACAAGTTTCATACGAATCTTCGATCCCCTGGCATTCTTTGAGGTCAATGCTATTCACCGCACGGCCAGCCAGCAGATCTTTATAGATCAAGATAAAACGAAGAAGAAACAAGCGGTTCAAGCAGACGTCCAGTAAAATCGACCCCACATTCATTTTCGAAAGGGTGTGCAGATTCCGGTAGAGGAATACAACCTGAAATCACGACAGCGGATTCAGTAAAAATAAAACATTACACAAGTTTAGTTACGAATAAAAGAATTAAACGAAGCATACACAGCAGATGCGATTTACAGTCATATGAAAGAGCGACGACAAAGTTCATCTTTATCATTTCGCAGCACTATGCAGAACTGTCAAATGCCCGCTCAAACCATTTGTACCTCAATCATCTTGCCTATCGATTAGTGCATTTATTTTTAGTAAACCGTCAAAATTCATCAAATTTGTGAATTTCAGTTATATTCGTTTACGAAACACGCTTATAACCGATCATTTCTGTTTAAATTGAAAACGTCTACAGCTGTCTACACGAGATGCTAAAGCAAACCAAATCACTTATGTACGGCATGAGAGCATGAGACAGGCAAAAAATATAGACGCATAGTAAAATGAATGTACGACTAGAATTGATCACTATACTAACAAAGGACATTCCATCGGCAAGTAAGTTATTCAACATGAGGTATGGACGGGCGTCTGAAAATCATGTGACCGTGTCTAAACAATGCAAATTCGTTCATCGCATGCAGCAACTAACAATCTGAAAGTTCTTAAGTAGCTAATCAAGCGAAGTATCGTCAGTCTGATGGTCTACGTTTCAGGAACTAACACATGCAGAAGAACAGTGGATTAAGGAAACTATCAGAACTCAAAGGCCACAACCGGACTTGGTTTGATAAAACACCATGTAAGAATGGAAATGTGTCTAAAATGTTCACAAAAACATTAAAACAATTCACTGTATCAAAGATACAAACATACTTTGTTGTGCGCCATTACACCGGATAAAGCAGTTTGTGGTCCAGTTCCCTCAGGCTCAGCACCAATCAGCATGGTATCGTACGCAACAGCGGAACGCAGAAAGTTTCTCACTCTAGCAATACCGTCATCTGTGCTGTGTTCCTTCGTTTTGTTTGTCTCAGCTTTCTCTTCTATCTTTTCAGCTATAACAGCATCATGCACTTGGACTTATTTGCGAAGCGAGTATTGCTCACCGATAACCGTTGCTCGAATGTGCGATGGCAAGGCTGATATTTTCACCAATGCCGTCAACGTAATAATGTCTGCTCGAGTCAACTGGCTGCAACCAGTGCACAGACCTTTCAGCAACAAAATCAGCTGCTTCTGAAAATTATATTGGCAAACTGTAATCGCAAATCTGTTTGCTATTCTCTTTGCATACCGTCCGAACAGCGCACTGGTCATTAATCTTACTCAATTTCTCCAGATGGGCTGCGTCTGCTGACGGCACGGTTCCCATATCATTTAATCTGCGCAGTCTATTCGCAAAAAAATCGATTGCCACCTCACATGCTCGAGTAAACTTTGGTAGTGCAGCAGCTGAAACTAAAAATTGCAAAAAATATCATTTGTAGCCTACTCTATATACAATAAAACAAAAAATAGCTAGCACATTTCGATGCAAGCCAGCAATATATAGGACATACCGGAGTAGAGAAATAGATCATATACAAAAGGCTTTCAATTATAACTAAAAGAAAATGACG